CACAGGCAGGGAGCTGGAAGGGAAGCGGGGCTGCCGGGATTAGAACCGGCGCCCATATGGGATCCCGGGCGTGCAAGGCGAGGACCTTTAACCACTTGCGCCACCGCGCCGGGCCCTGTTATGAACTTTTAAAAAAGATTTATTTGCTTTTATTGCAAAGTCAGACATGTACAGAGAGGAGGAGAGACAGAGAGGAAGATCTTCTGTTCGCTGATTCACTCCCCAAGTGACCGCAATGGCCGGTTCTGAGCTGATCCGAAGCCAGGAGCTAGGAGCTCTTACAGGTCTCCCACATGAGTGCAGGGTCTCAAGACTTTGATCCATCTTCTGCTGCTTTTCCAGGCCTCAAGCAGGGAGCTGAATCAGAAGCTGGGCTGTTGGGATTATAACTGGTGCCCATATGGGATCCCGGTGCGTTCAAGGTGAGGACTTTAGCCACTAGGCCACTGCACCAGGCCCTAAACATGTTATGAACTTAAGCACCATATATGGAACATGCTCTCCCAGGAAGGCAACCATATACATTTGCATTCTTGCACAATGTCAGATTTCTCAAGTGCACAAACACACATACATATCAACTTTAGCAAACATGCAAGGTTAGTCAATAATGCATGTCACATCAAGCAAAGAGGGGCGAAAGCATGACAGTGTGGAGTCCATGGTCTGGGAGGCTCTGGTCCTCCAGGCAAGCAGATGTCAAGTTTGTTCAGATTATGGTTGCCCTGGATTAGCATGCTGACTGAGTCACTTGGAGTGCTTCCTAGCAACTGCCAGTGGCCAGGTGGGCACCTGCCTGCAGCAAAACCTGTACACACTGGGCCAAAGTTCCTTCTCTTCTTTTATAGGCCATTTTACTTTGAATTGTCTCTTTATCCATTGTCCATGAGTCTCTGAGCCATTTGACATATCCCTAGGTCATGTTTCTTTTATTTATTTGTTTGTTTGTTTTTATTTGAATGGTAGATTTACATAGACAGGAAGAGAAAAAAAGATCTTTCACCCACTGGTTTATTCCCCAAATGACCACCACAGCTAGAGATGAGTTGATACAAAAACAGGAGTTAAGAGCCTCTTCTGGGTCTCCTACTTGGGTACAGGGTCCCAAAGCCTTGGCCCATCTTCTATTGCTTTCCCAGGCCACAAGCACGGAGCTGGATAGAAAGTGGAGCAGCCAGGACATAAATCAGTATCCATGGGGGATATTGGCATTCAGAGGTAGAGCATTAGCCAGTGAGCCAATTCGCTGGCCCCATCTTATGTGATTATCGGCTGCGCCAAGTCCATCGCTGCCACACAGCAAACAAATGGCAACTCTGAACAGGGACTTGAAAGCAGAAAAGTGCGATGAAGACCCCCACAGAAGGAGCTAAGTAAGGATAGTGGGCCAGAATCAATGTGCAGCACAGTGTTTTATTTCTCTTGTGCAGAACTCTTTTTTTTTTTTTAAGATTTTTTTTTTTTTGTGGGGGAAAAGGCAGATGTACAGAGAGGAGGAGAGACAGAGAGGAAGATCTTCTGTCTAATGGTTTACTCCCCAAGTGAGCGCAACGGCCGGTGCTGAGCCATTCTGAAGCCAGGAGCTCTTCCGGGTTTCCCATTATGGGTACAGGGTCGCAAGGCTTTGGGACATCCTTGACTGCTTTCCCAGGACACAGTAGGGAGCTGGATGGGAAGTGGAGCTGCTGGGATTAGAACCGGTGCCCATATTGGGATCCCGGCGCATTCAAGGCAAGGACCTTAACTGCTACACTATCACGCGGGGGCCATGCAGAACTCTTTTTTAAAAATTTATTTTTATAGAAAAGTCAGATTTACAGAGAGGAGAGACAGGGGAGAAAGATCATCTGTCTACAGTTTCACTCGCCAAGTGGTCACAACAGCCAGAGCTGAGCCCATTGAAGCCAGGAGCTTCCTCTGGGTCTCTCACATGGGTGCAGGGTCCCAAGGCTTGGGCTGTCCTCAACTGCTTTCCCAGGCCACAAGCTGAGAACTGGATAGGAAGCATGGTGGCTGGAACATGAATCAGTGCCCATATGGAATCCCCGATGTGTGCCGGGCAACGACTTTAGCCACTAAGCTACTGCGCCGGACCCCTGTGCAGAACTTTTTAATGAAAAGTGAAGCAAAGGTAACTAGGCAGTAATTGCATTTTTTTTAATTTAGTTTTTTTTTTAAGATTTATTTTTATTATTTTTTTATTGGAAAGGTGGATATACAGAGAGCAGAGACAGAGAGGAAGATCTTCCGTCCGATGATTCACTCCCCAAGTGAGCACAACGACCGATACTATGCCGATCCAGAGCCAGGAGCCTCTTCCGGGTCTCCCATGCGGGTGCAGGTTCCCAAAGCTTTGGGCTGTCCTCGACTGCTCTCCCGGGCCACAGGCAGGGAGCTGGAAGGGAAGCGGGGCTGCCAGGATTAGAACTGGCGCCCATATGGGATCCCGGGCGTGCAAGGCGAGGACCTTAACCACTTGCGCCACCGCGCCGGGCCCTTAATTTAGTTTTTAAAAGATTTATTTACTTTTATTGCAAAGTCAGACATATACAGAGAGGAGAAGAGACAGAGAGAAATATCTTCCATCCAATGATTCACTCCCCAAGTGACCACAACAGCCGCAACAGCTGAAACTGAGTTGATCTGAAGCCAGGAGCCTAGATCGTCTTCCAGGTCTCCTACATGGGTGCAGGATCCCAAAGTTTTGGGCCATCCTCGACTGCTTTCCCAGGCCACAAGCAGGGAGCAGGATGGGAATTGGAGCCGCTGGGATTAGAACCAGCGCCCATACGGGATCCCAGCGCATTCAAGGTGAGGACTTTAGCCACTAGGCCATGGCACTGGGTCCAAGTAATTGCATTCTTGTTTAGATGTTATTTGTGAATGTAACCCTTGGTCACTGCGTGAGAGAATGCTAGATACTGAAATTAAGCATCGTGCCCAGAAAAATGGTAAAAAAAAAAAAAAAAAAAAAGAAAAGACCCAAAAGATAGAAGGTATTCATGTTAGTTTTTGGATTGCATGGACTTTAATTAAAGCTGTTGTTATTATTTTAGAAGGGGACCCTCCAAGAGACTCCTCTAAGAGGAGACTACTGAAATATGGCTAAAAATGAAATGCCTTACATCACAAATGAGGAAGACAGAAAAAGAAACTCAGGAGAGAATCCCTTATTGTGGCTAGAAAAGAAACTAAAACTTCTTGAGTTGAAACAGCAAAATCGCAGGACTTCTCAGAATCTTCCAGTGAGAAAAATGAGCATGGGATAAAAGAACATATAAGTACCAGCCCATGCTGCTGCCTCACCCTTAAATCTGCTCAAGCATGTGCCTAAGTGTTTGATATTCTCCAGAGACCTCATGAATTACAATCTCTTTTCCAATTACACTTAGTAAAGAAAATAATTAACCTGCATATGAGACTCTAGACTTTAACACCATCACAGCTTTAGATCTGGCATGATAGCCTAGTGGTTAAAGTCCTCACCTTACATGCACTAGGATCCCATTATGGGTGTTGATTTGTATCCTGGCTGCTCCACTTTCTTTCCAACTCCCTGTTTGTGGCTGGGAAAGCAGTCGAGTATGGCCCAAAATCTCGGGACCCAACACCCATGTGGGAGACCTGGAAAAAGCACCTGGCTCCTGGCTTCAGATCAGCTTAGTTCCAGCCATTGCAGCCACTTGGGGAGTGAATCAGCAGATGAAAGTTATTTCTCTGTCTCTCCTCTCTGTAAATCTAACTTTGCAATAAATTTTTTTTTAAAAAAATCTCAAATAAAAATAAAAAACTCTTAAAAAAAAAAAAGGCTTGTGCATCCTACAGACCCACTTCTTCATAGCTATGGGAATATTTAAATGGCTGGATCCAGGGAGCAAACTGAAGTCCCTTATGCTTTTGAAGTAATAGCAAAAATAGAGCTTTCTGCTTCTCAATATTTACAATGGAAAATGTGGAGGAGCAATATGGGTAAGGAAAAATTGCAATCCTTGGGATTTCCCTGAAGGTGGGTGACTTAGGAGGTGTTGGTTGGAAATGGGTTGTGGACTACTTCAGCGCAGTAAATACAACTACCTCAAGCTGTGGACCTGGGAAAACATTGACACTGGGGCTGAATTTGCAGGCAGCTATACAAAAGTCATCCAGAGGGCTTACGTAGGTCCTTGACTGACTCCGTAGAAACACAAGTTAGAGCAAACAGCACCAGGAAACTATTACTGCAGCAGTTGGCCTTTGATAATGCCAACGAAGACTGTCAAGCACCTATTCGTCCTGTAAAAGCCAGCACATGGGGAAGCCCAGAGTGGGCAGGAGTCTCCCCCCAGCCCCTGCGTGGTGCTGAAAGGGGGATAGGAGACTGGCTTGGGGGTACTTGCTGGAGCAAAGGGAAAATCCTAGTGAGCGATTTCAGACTTTCTCTTCATCCAAAAGTGGTCAGCAAGGATTGGCACGAGGCTACAAATGAATTAAGCTGAGCGTTATTGGCAATCTAACGTTGCTTCTTGAAACTGACCACGGAAAACAATGGCCACCTCTGTATTAGAGCGTTTTGAAAAGCTTTCCAGGTCTATATGTGCAGCTAGGGTCCAGATTTTCTGTTCTAAAACATGGCTCAAGCACTTTTTCTTGTTCTTTTTTTTTTTTAGCAATGGGGCTAATGCGGTTTTTGCACAAGCCCACATCCTCCAAGGTCGGTGTAGTAGGGCCGATTAACGACATGCACCCACCCCCAACACTGGTGGTCCCTGGGGCAAACAGCAGAGCAGCGCCGTCCTTCCATCCCTTTCTCTTGAAATAAGTCTCCCGCTGGCTCGGACTCCGGGATCCGAGGAGCCAGTCGTATGGATCCGCACGAGGGCTCCGGGCTCCAGGACACTACGGAAGGAGATGCGGGACGAGGCGGTCGGGCAGGGTGGCCACCGACAGTTCCTAAGGCGCCGCAGGCGACCAAGCAAGGCAGACTACATCTCCCACAATGCATTCGGGGGCGGGCCAGGTCGGGCCGAGCGGCTGGAGCCGGGCCTTGGCAGCGAGAGACCAGCAGGGGCTGCCTTTCTGAGCCCGCTGCAAGGTTGGGGGACGGCAGGAGTGCTCGTGCCGGGTTGCTGTAGTCATGTCTGTGACCGCCGGGGGCCTGGCCCCCGTCAACTTGCTCTCCCAGGCCGATCCCAGCCGGGCACTCCCACCCCTCCGGGGGTCCGGCGGAGAACAGTGACCCACACCGTCCGTGCGTCCTGGGCCCGCCTGGGCGAACAGGTGAGTCTGGTTTGCCAATCCACGTGGCCTGGGGGGTGCCGAGAGACCGGAGAGCTGTCATCTTTGGAGGGAGGGACTTGAAGATTGTTTGGGAGGGGGGGGTGCCTTGCCATCTTCCTGCTACTATTTCCCATAGAAGGAATGGGTCTGCCTGGAGCCCCTCAGCGTGTGGACCCCAGCTGGGAAATAGAAAAAGCGAGGCCTGGAACCAAGACGGTGAGGTCCGATAGGGCACAGTGGGCATGTGGGACCCACCTTCTAACACACTCCCATGGAGTCCTCAGAGCCCACTCAGAAAGTGACAGAGGTGACTTGCAGGGTGAGCGGGCAGCAGCTGGGTCCTGGCTGTGATGGCTCGTGCTTTCCAGGGTGCTCCCTGGGCCAGATAAATGGGCTGCACCTTGTACCTTGCAGCTCTTTCTGGTCTGGAGTTTGCTAGGGGAGAGGGAGGAAGCAGCCTTTGTCAGGGAGGGGAGTGGCTCCCAGGAAATGACTGGGACCAGGCCAGGCTCACAGCTAGGCCACAGCAGTCTCACCTGGGCTCTGTGCCGCCCATTGTCCCAGGAACGCCACTCCCCAGAGAAAAGGTGAAGGCAGGGTGAAGTGTTATCCAAGCCGGAAGAAGAGCCAGGGCAGTAGGGAGCTAGTGAGGAGGGGCTCAGCTCCCTGCAGGGCCACTTGAAGGAGGAGGGCACCTTGAACCAACCTGTTGGGTGGCATTGTGCACAGCCATAGCAGGGCTGCTTCTAGGGAAGATGGCCAACCCTGGGGTTAGCTAGAGAGACTTCTAGAAGAGAGTCCCTCCCGGGACTTCTGAGAGACCTTCTTTACCTAATGTTTTCATGGGAGCTTCAGCCACAGTGGGAGCTGTGGCGGCTTTAGACGTGATTCCTTCCGGCTCCTTGCCTGAGTTTATGGGGCAAGCATCCAGAGTCCGATGTTCATCAGAACTTTTGCCAGGAACTCCAGCTTGAGTTTAAACATGCTCAGGTGTTGTATGGTCTCAGGTGGTAGGGGACCAGAGTGAAGGGAGCATCCACTGTCCAGACCAGTTGGTCCTACTCCTTATTTCCCATGCTGTATCATTCATGAAACCCCCAAGAAGCTCTCAGGACAGTAATTAGCCTTCTTTGGGGGTCTTTAGAGCAGAAAGATATAAAACAGGAACATATAGCAGACCTAGGAGTTCATCTTGGGAGTGACTTCCAAGAGTAGCAGAGAGCCAGCAAAGAGCCAGTTAGTCCAGAGGAGTGCTTGTTCCTCGGCCCACTCCAAGCCTTGTGGCCCCATGTGCGGTGGCGGGGCGGGGGGCAGCGGTCATTTGAGGCCAGAGCCTGGTTCAGATGGAGCAAACCTCTTAACAGCCTGATGTATGAGACAGAGGTGACTGGATCTGTGTGTACACGCAGTCACACACGTGCCGCGGCTGATAAGTAAAAAGAATCGTGGCGTGCTAATGGCAGCATATAAACACCTACTCAGTGCCAAAGGGAATGAAATGACACGGATGATCTCATTTGCTCCTCTCACAGCCCAAAGAACCAGTGCTGTCACTCTCCCCATGTTATAGAGGAGAAGGCAGACACCAGGAAAACCAAGCCAAATTCAAGCGGGCTCTTCTGCCACGTGTGGTGGCTCCTGAGCCATTGATTGCTTCTAAGGACAGGTCTTCCCCACCAGCAGAGGTGTCCCTGGGCTACATCGTGGCTGTGGTAACTCCTGGCTGTTCTTCACAGAGCTTTTGACATTCAAGCACTGATTGAACCTGTGGTACCGCCACTCCGAGAGTGGTGGTGGGTCACAAGGGGATCTTCCATTCAGAGGCATAAAGCAGGGTGGGAGTAGGGCCATGAACGGAGGGAGGCCTCACTAATAAGTCACACCTGAGTGGCACCCCGTGGGAAAGGAGGGAATGAATCATATGGGTTTTCAGCCTAGGTGGTGAGAGCGAGGACCCGAGGGTGGGGACAGCTGGGAAAGTTCAATAGGGACAAAGTCCTGGGGGAAACTTGGGTTGCTTCAGGCAAGCCCTTGGCCGAATAGTCGGGAGAGAGGTAGGAGATGAGGTGGAAGGAGCCATGGTGACTGGAGGGGACAGGTAGTGACCAGGGGTTCTGCTGTATGGCGTAGCTTTCTCACGGACTTTGGAGGGGCCGTTTGAGTTATGAGCAGAGGCATTACAGGACATTTCTCAAGAGGATCCCTGGAGTACTCTGAGGAGGAAGTGGGGAGGTGGTTGAGGGGACTGCGGGAGCCATCTAGACAGACACAGGAGGTCTGGACCCACATGGCAGTCATTAAGGTGAGAAGTGGTCACATTCTGGGTACCGGTGCTTCCCACTTCAGTAATCAGATCTGTGAAAGCTTGCCCCATTCTGTGTGCCATTACTGATGTCTGTATTTCTGGTTATTTAACATTTTTAGAAAATCTTTAATAAAGATTTATTTCATATGTTGATTCACTCCCCAAATTCCTGCAATGGCTGCAGGTGAGCTGATCTGAAGCCAGGAGCCAGGAGCTTCTTCCACATCTCCCAGATTGGTGCATGGTTCCAAGGCTTTGGGCCATCTTCCCCTACTTACCCATTCCAGGGACCTGAATCAGAAGTAGAGCAGCCAGAACACAAACAGGCAGCTATATAGGATGCTGTCATTTGCAGGTAGAGGATTAGCGTGTTAAGCCACCACACTAGTCCCAGTTATTTTATTTTACTTATTTTAAGGATTAATTTATTTATTTTTGAAGTTTTCTTTTTTATTGGAAAGGCATGTTTTCAGAGAGAAGGAGACACAGGGAGAAAGACTGTCCATCTGCTGGTTCACTCCCCAAATGATCACATGGTTGGATATGAGCAAGGAGTTTTTGAGTCTCCCGTGCAGGTGCAGGGTCCCAAGACTTTGGGTCATCCTTTATTGCTTTCCCAGGCCGCAAGTAGGGAGCTGGATGGGAAGTGGAACAGCTGGGACATGAACTGACACCCATATGGGATCCTGGCACATGCAAGGCGAGGATTTAACGACAGAACCATCACACTGTGCCCATGGGGTGTCTTTTGAAGAAAGAAGAAATGTCTGTATGTTAGTGATGGATGGGGAGAAGGGGAATTGCTGAACCAGGAGCCAGAGGGACAGCTGCTAAAGCCATGTGCTCATGTGGGAGGGCGGGGCTGGGATCCAGCACTCACGTGGAGCAGTTAGCCTGAGTGGAGGAACAGTTCATCCTTAGTAAGCAAAAGGAACACCAAGCCTGCCAGACAGGGTAAAAGGGCCAGTGGCAGTCTACGGAAGTTGTCTTCGGATCCCTTCTGGATTCTTAGTGCAATGGAAGGCAGGTTCATCTACTGAAGATACTGTGAGCATGAGGGAAAGAGGACGGAGGTTTGAGAAGAGGAAAGATGAAGCTGCTGACTAGGAGCACGGGAAGGTGAACAGCTACAGAAATGTTGAGTGGTCCCATGTATGGGACCCTCCCCAGAAATAACCCAGGGAGCCAGCTTCAGAAACTCTGGCCACAGCTCACTACCATCCAGCTTGCTTTCTGCTTAGGCATGGGCAGACTAATCCCTCTGAGGCCACGCTACACAGCAATACAGACCCAACTCTGGCTTTTAAGGTAACTTTGTAGTCTTTAAAGTTCTTGTGTGGCCTTTTTAAAAAAAGATTTATTTATTTTAGGAGCTGATGCAATGATTTAATTGGCTAATCCTCTGCCTTCAAGTGCTGGCATTCCATATGGATGCCTGTTCATGTCCTGACTGTTCCACTTGCCTTCCAGTTCCCTGCTTGTGGCCTGGGAAAGCAGTAGAGGCCCAAGGCTTTGGAACCCTACACCCACTTAGGGGACCCAGAAGAAGCTCCTGGCTTCTGGCTTTGAATCTGCTCAGCTGATCTATTTGGGAAGTGGACCAGTGGATGGAAGATCTTTCTCTGTCTCTTCTCTCTGTAACTCTGCCTTACCAATAAAAATAAGTAAGTCTTAAAAACAGAAAGATCTAGTTTCACTTCAAAGTCTTTTGGTTCACTCCTCATGTGACTACAATGGCTGGGGCTGGACCATGCCAAAATCAAGAGCCAGGAACTCTGTCTGTGTCTCCTAGTCTCTAAAAACTTGAGCCCTCTTCCACTGCTTTCCCCAGAGCATTAGCAGGGAACTGGATTTGAAGCAGAGCTTCCAGAACTCAAACCATCACTCTGATATGGGATGCCAGTGTCTGGAGCAGCAGTTTAATCCAGTATGCTACAGTGTCATCCCCTAAATTTAACTTAATTCCACCTTCCTAGTAACTTTCTGGAGTATCTGCTTAAACTAAAGTGAACAGGCAAAGTGGTAGGATGATGTTAACCCTTCTCTATACTTGTCCGTGTTTTCAAAGTTTTCTACAATGACTATAGAAACAGAGCAAGACACTGAATGTTCTCTATGAAGGGTCTACGCAGAGCCCAATTCCTGGGGATGTGAGTGAGTGAGTGAGTGAGGTTCTGGTAATGGACAAGCCCGCTGCACTGACCCCTGTTGGTGATGCCAGTAACGCTGCCAGCAGCACCTTCCCCCCAGCCTCCAGTGATGCCTCTGTTCACCCCACAGGAAAGCCCAGAGGATGGCTGCCGATATGCAGAGGAAGAGAAGCAGTGATGGTCCCGATGGTACTTTGGCTCCTTCTGATGGACAGAGTATGGAGAGAGCAGAGAGCCCTACCCCAGGAATGACCCAGGGGATGGAGCCAGGTACATGCAGTGGACAGCTCCAGCCAACCAACAGCTGGAGTGACCACTCGGGGTACGGGTCAGGGGTTGGGACTCCCCATCACTCTTTCCTACTTTGTCCTCACTTACACATGTGTTCAGCCCCTTGCCAGCTCTTTGTCAGGTGTGGGGGATCCTGTAGGAAACTGAGCCCTACCCATATCTGGTCTTCCTCTCCACTCCCCTCCTATGCCCTGTGTCTGCCAGCTCCCTCTCTCCTCTTCAGCTCTCTGCTTAAAAGGTACATGTTAGGCTTTCCCCAAGTGCATACCAGCTAGGATGCTAGTTATTATGTCATTTTGTCTGTGTGTGTATTCCTCATCTGTTACACACAAGCTCTTGAGCTCCAACCACAGGACAATGAGATACTGCATGCCTGGTATAGTGTTAATCTCATCAGAGAACCTCAAAAACCTGTGTCCCAAAACACTCAGCCCGGCCCCTGCCCTGGTGGAGCCACCTGCTGGTAGAGCTGAAACAAGTAGGGGAGAGATTTCCTATGTGTGGCAGGTGTTCCAGGCACAGGCGCAAGCCTGGGCATGCAGCAGTGGACAGCCAGGTTTCCTCTTTTGGGTGGGGAGGGGGTGCCATAGTACCAAGGGGAAGGGAGATTGAAGAGGTAGAAATGATAAAGAGCCAGGGCCAGAGGTTTGGCAAAGGTGTATAAGCTTCTTTTCTGAGAGCTGAAACATGGACCAGCATCCAGGCAGCAGTGGCCAAGCTGCTGAGGCTGGCAAGGGCGTTTGGAGGGTGGGCAGAAGGGTGGGCAAGGGAATGGACTACAAGATGGCAGTGAGAGAGGTGGGCCCTCCCAACTGCCACTGCTGCTTCGAGGGGCTTGAGTCTTATTTCAGTATGAGGGGAGGAGGCGGGTGGGTTGGCAGAAAAACATGGTTCGTGGCAGGCAGTGGCAAGACGGAACAGAAGCGAGTCCACATTGGGACCAGCAATCATGTCAAGGTGGCTGTGGTATGCACCTTGCCAGTAAGGGTTTGCCAGTGGGAATCGGCTGGCAACAGACTCTAAGAAGCAATGTTTTGGGCCCACAGGTGCTGGGCAGGAGGGTGCCATGTTTGTCCACACCCGTTCCTATGAGGACTTGACTGAGGCAGAAGATGGGGCAGCTTCTGGGGACAGCCCCAAAGAGGGCACCGTGGGCCGCCCCCAGCTGCCTGCAGACATGCGCCAGATCAGCCAGGACTTCAGTGAGCTGAGCACCCAGCTGACGGGGGTGGCCCGTGACCTGCAGGAGGAGATGCTGCCAGGAAGCTCTGAGGACTGGCCAGAACCCCCAGGGGCAGCTGGGAGACCTGCTGCGGAGCCCCCCAGGGAGGGCACAGCCGAGGGGGAGGAGGAGGACGCGACCGAGGCCTGGCGCCTGCACCAGAAGCATGTGTTCGTGCTGAGCGAGGCCGGGAAGCCGGTGTACTCCCGCTATGGGTCCGAGGAGGCACTTTCCAGCACCATGGGAGTCATGGTGGCCCTCGTGTCCTTCCTGGAGGCAGACAAGAACGCCATCCGCTCCATCCATGCAGGTGAGCCACCTGGAAAGAGGCTGGGGAGGGTCCCTGGGCCACAGTTTAACACGTAACAGGTCTTATGACAGGGTAAGTCCCTTCTCCCTCTGAGCCTCACTGGAAGCTGGGATAAGCCACTGCTGGCCATAGGCTGTGGTGAGGGTCACAGACTGCTCTGACCTGGGCTCTGCCAGGGGGTAGGTAACCAGCACTAACAGCGAGCCCCTGGGGCCTGAGCCCCACCTAGCTTTTGCCTAGACTTCGCACCCACCATAAGAATGTGTGTCTTTCTGAAGAGCTTCTATCCAGGGTGTCCAAGGATGCCAGTCCATGACATAAGTGGCAGGAGCAGGCCCTAAGCCTTCAGGGAAATTGGGCAATGGGCTTTTTTTTTTTTTTTTTTTCCCAATCATCATCAACCTTGGATCAACTCCTGTTGGGAAAAAGAACTCTGAGCTAGGAAAGAATGTGGAAGGTAAAGGGATGCAGGGGAAAGAAGGCCCCTGGGAGAAGGGCTGAGGCTGACCCCACCCCGCCCCACTCCCCAGATGGCTACAAAGTAGTGTTTGTGCGCCGGAGCCCCCTCGTGCTGGTGGCGGTGGCCCGCACGCGACAGTCGGCCCAAGAGCTGGCGCAGGAGCTGCTCTACATCTACTACCAGATCCTGAGCCTTCTCACCGGCGCGCAGCTGAGCCACATCTTCCAGCAGAAGCAGAACTACGACTTGCGGCGCCTGCTTTCTGGCTCGGAGCGCATCACCGACAACTTGCTGCAGCTCATGGCGCGGGACCCCAGCTTCCTGATGGGGGCTGCGCGGTGCCTGCCCCTGGCCGCGGCCGTGCGCGACGCGGTGAGTGCCAGCCTGCAGCAGGCACGTGCGCGCAGCCTGGTCTTCTCCATCCTGCTGGCCCGCAACCAGCTGGTGGCGCTCGTGCGCCGCAAGGACCAATTCCTGCATCCTATAGACCTGCACCTGCTCTTCAACCTCATCAGCTCTTCTTCCTCCTTCCGCGAGGGGGAGGCCTGGACGCCCGTGTGCCTGCCCAAATTCAATTCGGCAGGCTTCTTCCACGCTCACATCTCTTACCTGGAGCCTGACACCGATCTCTGTTTGCTGCTGATCTCCACCGACCGTGAGGACTTCTTTGCGGTTTCTGACTGCCGCCGGCGCTTTCAGGAGCGCTTGCGCAAGCGCGGAGCCCACCTGGCACTGCGAGAGGCGCTGCGCACGCCCTACTACAGCGTTGCCCAAGTGGGCATCCCTGACCTGCGCCACTTCCTCTATAAGTCAAAGAGCTCAGGACTCTTCACCAGGTGAGGGAGGGCCTTGAGGGCACGCACTCCTTCAGGGAGATGGGGATGTGGGGCCTGGGAAACCGATGGATCCTGGGCCCTGGGGTGCAGACCACTATTTTGTGTCTCTTTTTACTCTGGCAGAAGAGACCCATACTCTCCATTTTCCCAGGGCTGTGTATTTCTCTCCCTTCCCTGTCCAAAGGGCCTGGAAATGCCCAGTGTACCCAAGGAGGGAGGCTGGACCAGAAGCCTTCCTAGGCCTAGACTGACTCTGGGTCATTTCGCTCCAGTCCAGGGTACAGAAGCTGCTGCTGCTGCTGCCTCCTGCTGTGGAGGGGCTGGGAAGACAGACAACCTTTGTCCTTTGACTACCCTTGATTCAGGGGGGGTTCCAAATTGGACCTGTTACTCTTAGATGCCCGAATTTACCTTGGCCTCTCTCCAAGGAAGGGTCGCTAAAGACCTTGAACTTGGGGGGGATTGGGTGGTGGAAGGGGGCAGGGTTTCAGCCTGTCCTGGGCAGTGTTGTGTGGTAGGAAGATAATGCCCTGGCTTAGGAGATTTCTGGTGGGTAGAATCTGGTAGAATCTCCCTGGCTAGGAATAGGTGATTCTAGAACTCCAGAGAGGGCAATGGAAGTCACCCTTTTGCGAACCCACTACCTGCAGCCCTGAGATTGAGGCCCCGTATACCAGTGAGGAAGAGCAGGAGCGGCTGCTGGGCCTCTACCAGTACCTGCACAGTCGTGCACACAATGCTTCCCGCCCACTCAAGACCATCTACTACACAGGCCCCAACGAGAACCTCCTGGCCTGGGTAAGGTGGCCCTGGGCCGGGCTGGGCTTCACCCAGGTTGAGGCTACGAAGGCAGGGCCTCACCTAAATGACCACGCATTCTTCCCCTGCTCCAGGTGACAGGCGCCTTTGAACTCTACATGTGCTACAGCCCCCTGGGGACCAAGGCGTCAGCTGTCAGTGCCATCCACAAGCTGATGCGCTGGATCCGCAAAGAGGAAGACCGGCTCTTCATCCTCACGCCCCTCACTTACTGATGGCGCTAGGTGTGCAGCATCGGCCCTGCGAGGCTCTCTGAGCATGCTGGGAAGCCCTGGGAGCCTGCAAGGCAGGGCTGGCCTCTGCTACCCGGCTAGCAGGTGGGGACTGTGTGTGTATTAAAGTGCTTTGGGGAAGAAGACACCTGTCGGGCCTTGCCACTGGTTCCTTCCCCTCTTGTTCCCAGACTCCACTTTCCTGTCGCTAGCCCCTCCGTGAGCGTCACTCTACACAGGGGCAGGTGCACACTTGCGGCCCTGTCCCCTTGTGGTCGCACCAGTTCAGACCACACCCACCCAGAGCGGTTCCCTGGCTCTCTAGTGCCTCAGCTCTTTGTGCTTGCCTTCTCCTGACCAAGAGGCCTGCAGGTGCCCGAAGAACCCCCTGTCCCCCCGCCAGGACACCCAGAAAGCCTGGCTGTGGCTGATCTGAGCATGTCAGCCATAGTCAAACATGGAAAACCTGAGTCCTGGTGTGGGTAGTAGTCCTTGATGAGGCATCTATGTTCAGCACAGGCAGGTCAGGTTCCTCCGAGAACACAGGCTTCTGGGAAACTGCTTGGGTTCCCCATGAAGGGACTTTGTGCCTCAGCCAACTCCTTCCTCAGAACAGTCCCCATGAATAGGCTGGGAGCTTTGGGGAGCAGGCCCAACTGGCCTCTTGAACAGGAGGTTAATGACTGTAATGAAAGCTCATGCCACTCAGAGCCTCGCACCTTCCTCCATCACCCTGTCCCCAGCCATGGCAGGGCTGTAGAGTCACATGGGGTCCTGCTAATGTCCCGGAGCCTCAGTGGTGAAGACCCAACTCCAGTCACTCCACCATGAAACTGTCCTTGGACAAAGCCTGTAGCATAGTGCTGCTGGTGGTGGATGAGGGGGCTGGCCTACTGTGTGTGGGTGCTGAGAGGTATAGGGAGGACTGACGGAAGAAAACCCTGCCCTGCAGAGGGTATGCAGACCACCAGAATCACCCTCATGCCTTCTCTCAGAGTAGGGTCAAGATGTTCTGACACTGTCAGAGAATGTCTCAGAATGTGACCGTGTGGGTGTGACAAGTAGAAGGAACGTGGGAACAGTGGCACCTCCTGTGCTGGGAATGGCCACATTCCGGAGCACAATGCATGGGCCTGGTGGCAGGTCACCCACCCAGAATCCCAAAAGCCTTGGAGAACAGCCATGGCTTGGTGGGTACCATCTACCCCATACATGTTCTGGCTCTTTTATTTGCCTCTTTGATGCTTGCACTCCTCTCTTTGCTTCTGGTCAGGATAGTGAGCCATTGCCCTTGGGGCTGAGGCCATGCCTGACCACTGATGTTCTTGTGGTCGTGAGGCAGTAAGGACCTCTGTCAGCTGACACGATCCATGGAGGGAGCTCAGCATCTGTTTGGGGCAATGACAGGAGGAAGTATCACAGATAAGAGTGTGTACCTGAACACCAAGCACCTACAAGCCTGGCATTCACCTGTTGGGGATCAGGGTCAGGGAGGGAGATGCTAGGTGAACAGGGAAGGTGTTCCCACTGGAGGAGCCAGTGTGTGCCATGGGAGGACTTGGTATGCAACCTGGCATAACTGGTTCACAGTGGAGCTGGAGGAGTTGACAAGGTGGGGTGGGGGGCAGTCCTTCAGATTTGGGGTGTAAGTCTGATGGGGAGACTTTGAAAGCTGCCATGTGATGTGGCTACATTGTAGTTTGAGGGTCATTCTCCCGCTTAGCTCTTCCCATTACTGAGGACTCTATGAGTTGGAGAAGGAGGCCTCGTCTTTTGGAACCATATTCAGAGAGAACTGACAACCCAGAGAGGGTAAGGGGGACAGCATTCCCTCAAGGGGTAGTTGTACAGGTCCTGAGCCAACTGTGGACCTGGAAAGTGCTTACGCTTGGCATCAGAGGCTCCACCAACTGCCCTCCAGTCCTACAGAGCCAGCAGAAGGATGAACCTGCTGTTCCGGAGACCCAAGGCTGCCACACGATGGCAGTAGAAAGCCGTATGATGACTACTGAACACACATACACACACACACACACAAAGTGGCTCCGCTGGCGCGACCCTGAAAAGCCCTGGAAAGACTCCTCCGGGCCCCAGGAACTTCTCACACGTCCAGCCTCAAGCTTATGATGTTTCATTCCAGTTCTGCCCTGCGGGGACCATCTCCAGAACTCCTGAAGGAATGAAGTGGCGCTTACTCATTTCCGGGCCAGTTGTGGCCCTCGAGGGCGTGACTGTCGCGTCGCCTCGGGCGCCGCAGTGTCCTGCAGGTGTGGGTGTGGCGGGCCGCTGTGCTCCAGCTCCTTTTCCCGTCACCGGGTGCTCACGAAACTCCGCCCTGAAGGAGCCGGGAGGCTGGCACACCTGCCGCGTTCCCCTTCTGTCTCGAAACAGCTCTGATCGGGCGCTCCAAAGGTTGGCAGCCACGCAGGGGCCCTCGCGCGCAGGTACGACCCTGCCTCCGCCCTGTTCCGGAGCCGGCAGGTACCAGCTTCGCCGGACGCGTTAGATCGTCCTGCCAGCGTCTCACCTGCACCCCGGTCCAGGTGTGTGCATTGGCGGGTGGCGTGGGAGTGCGGGAGGACCACTTGCCTTCGGGTCTCCTGTGCCCTCCTACACTGGTCCCCTGAGGGAAGGGGCGGGAGGAGGCCAGCCTCGGGAACGCCTGGCCCGGGCGCCCCGGGGAGCCCCGCCCCGGAGCCGGCCCCGCCCCGGCCCCGCAGCCCTCGGGGCGATTTCACTTGGAGCGGCGGCCACGGCGGCTACTCCCGGCCACGCGTGTCCTCCGGCCTTGACTGCTCCACGCTCGGCGAGGTTCGACTGCCCTGGGGACCGTCGGGGTCGCTGCCCACGCCTGGATTCGGGCTCCGCTGGAATTCCCGAGGGCTTTGATGGGGCACTTCCCTTGGTCTTCGGTGCTGCTGCTGCTGCTGCTCCTGCCCGTGGTGCCTGCAGCCGGCGCGCCCTGGACGTGCCGGCGCACCCCGTACTCGGCCTCCCGTGACTTCGACGTGAAGTACGAGGTGCCTAGCTTCCTGGCCGGTAGCCCTGTTCAGGCCGTGGCGACCTTCGAAGGCGGTGCGGATGGGAGTGCCGTGTTTGTGGCTACACGCAACCGCCTACAGGTGCTCGGGCCCGACTTACAACCCCTCCAGAGCCTAGCTACTGGCCCAGTCGGTGATGCGAGCTGCCAGACATGTGCAACCTGTGACCCGTGGCCACAGGACTCAGCAGGTGATACGGACATGCAGGTGTTGGTCTTAGAACCGGCACTGCCAGCGCTGGTCAGTTGTGGCTCAAGCCTGCAGGGCCGCTGCTTCTTGCATGAGCTGGAGCTGGGCGGGTCAGCCCCCCGCCTGGTAGCACCTGCCTGCCTCTTCTCAGCGCGCCGCAACCAGCCCGAGGACTGCCCAGACTGCGTAGCCAGCCCTCTGGGCACACGCGTGGTCGTCGTGGAACAGGGCCAGGCCTCCTACTTCTACGTGGCATCGACCCTGGACCCAGCCGTGGCTGCCAGCTTTAGCCCCCGCTCCGTATCCATCCGGCGCCTCAAGGCCGATGCGACGGGATTCGAACCAGGTTTCGAGGCACTGTCGGTGCTGCCAAAGCACCTGGCCTCCTACCGCATCGAGTACGTGCATAGCTTCCGCGCTGGAGCCTTCGTTTACTTCGTGACGGTGCAGCCGGCCAGTGTAGCTGAGGCGCCCGGGGCCTTGCAAACGCGCCTGGCGCGCCTGAACGCAGCCGAGCCCGAGCTGGGGGACTACCGGGAGTTGATTCTCGACTGCCGCTTTGCGCCCAAGCGCCGGCGTCGCGGTGCGGCTGAGGGCGGGCAGCCTTACCCGGTGCTGCGGGCCGCCCACTCGGCTCCCGTGGGCGCCCAGCTGGCCGCGGAGCTGAGCGTCTCCGAAGGCCAGGAGGTGCTGTTTGGGGTCTTCTCCACTGGAAAGAACGGTGGCCCGGGCATGGGCCCCAGCTCCGTGGTCTGCGCCTTCCCCATGGATCTGTTGGACAAGCTAATCGAGGAAGGCGTGGAGCTCTGCTGTGACTCCCCTGAGGGCCGCACCCTCCGCCGAGGCCTTGACTTCTTCCAGGCGCCCAGTTTGTGCCCCAACCCGGTGAGTGGGAGCTGCCCATCTTCCCTCCCAGGGAGGCATTGCGGTGAGGGAGACAGGCAGAGAGAAGCTTCTTCCAGCTGTCCAGTGTGCTAAGGGGAGTGGAATAAGGAATGGGCCAGGCACAGGGCACCCAGTCAACTCATCTCCCAGCCTGGCAGGTCTTGTGGTTGTTCTTTTGCTCTCCCACGCATCCTGGCCTCTGATGTTTATGGGTGCTTTCCGGGGTATGTGGGGGTGGGACTGTATCATGACTGAACCCAGCTTCTGTTCTCTGAGTGAAGTGAGAATGGGTTTGCCTTCCTCGCTGCCCACCCCTTGATATCCTCAGGGACACACACACAGACCCTGGTATACACGCAGCACACACACACACACACACCCCGAATATGCTCATGGTCATGAAACATACACAACTCCAGCCAGCTGCCTAGCCACATGGTTTCACTTTCCCAATCAGAGCACTTGCTTCCCTTGGCTTTCCAAAGGAGATAGAGCTGGCTTCCTCAGAGACTCTTCTGTCCTCTCCCATCTCATCTCACTCTGGCAGGTTCTGACGTGGAGTCTCCTAATTTTTAGCAGTGTAGGGACTGGGTAGTATTGTGGGCTGAGCTTAAATAGCCTGTTATCCACTGGGGGGGAGAGGGGAGGAATTGGGGAGACAGAAGGCAGCTTAACTGCAAAAATGTTCTGGAAGACTCGCCCTGGTGTTACGCAAGCAACTATAAACATTTGGGGATGAGTGAAGGAGGAGTTGGCTGGGATTGATTCCCGGCACCAAGTGTCTTCTGTCCCAGGCAAGAACATGGACCTGTGTTGAACTGGGCCCTGGTCACAGCAGGCCTGGCTCCCAGTTCTCTCCAGCCATGGCCTCAGGAAGAAACACACAGGACAGACCTTAGAACAGTCCTATCCAAGGCTGTAAGAGATTAGGCCAAGGGAGCCAGAGCATGGTTGAGTCTTCTGTTCAGCTGGCCCACAGCCACTGCTCTCAGAATCTCTGGTCACCTGTTCCCTGCTCTGACTTCTTTCATG